TAGAAAAATACATCATGACTTTTCTGATGACCCAATATTAAAATGATACACAGGAAGACTGTGTATACACAAAAAAATGTATGTACTGTGATTGCAACTATGCACAACTAACTATGCAAATGAATAACAACCTATAAAGACAATAAAGGGAATATAAAACAAGAGCAAGAAGGTGGAACTTTTAGTAATAGTAATAAAAATAACTAATATTTACTGGGTGCCAGGGCCAGGCACTATTACAAATCAGCTTTTCATGAATTATAATATTCTCCCCCTTATCCTCAGGGGATGATTTTCAAGAATCCCAGTGGATGTACTTCAGCTAGTACTTAACCCTACACATATTATGTTTTTTCCTATACATACACACTTTTGATAAAGTTTAATTTATAAATTAGGCACAGTAAGAGATTGGCAATAGCAATAATAAAATAAAATAATTATAACAATATGTTGTAATAAAAGTTATGTGAATGTGCCCTCTCTCTCAAAATATCTTATTGTATATATTCACCTGTTTTGGGACTATGACTGACTGCAGGTAACTGCAACCATAGGACACTGAAGCCACAGAAAGGAAAACCATAGATAAAGGGAGAAAACTAATTCATTCAGTCCTCACTACTAGACTGTGAAGTAGACCCTGTTATTATTGACCATTTTACAGATGAGGAAACTAGGGGAAAAGGCAGTAAAACGGGTTGTCTCCAGCTGCATAGATAGATGGCTAAGTGACAGAGTTAGGATTTCAATCAAAGCATACTAGTTCCAGTATTTGATTTTATCCATGGATACAGATGTAAGATAGATCTTAAAGTTATATAAGATTTGATGCATAAACTTTAAATAATTATGAGTACATGTAAAATTAAATAGGACATATCTGTGACCTCTGCTACCTCCTTCCAGACTATGCATCTAACCCAACCTTAAAGGAGTTAGGACAGGCATCTAGAGGTGAAGGGGCTTTAACTGTGCCTTAAAAGTCTAATAACGGTTGGACAGAAACAGCACAGAAGTAGAGACTAGAAACTGGGGACAAGGTGGAGGCATTCTACCCAGAGTTTGAAGCTTTTCAAAGGTGTGGTGAAATAAGAACAGCTCTAGGAAACTGAAGGATGGGTAAGGATGAGGTCAAATGGCTAACCACGCTTTTGCTCTATTTGGTCTATCAAAACACAATCTGCAAGATACAAGATGATGTCAGTGCTTTCTCCCAAGGAACCATTTTTCTTCCAGTTCATCACCCTATTTTCTGCTGGTCCTACTTAGATCCAGAGGGGTAAGTCCCTCTCCATTTTTTTTTTTTTTTTTGGAGAGGTTTTTGCTATAGGGTGCGTGCCCTCACCAGACAGACAGAGACATAGAGACAGAAAGCGAGAAATCACCCCCCAGAGGGGATGGTCATGCTACAATCCCTTCTCCTACATTCTCCTCTTGGGATCTTGGGCATGCATGCACACGTGCCCGGCGTGAGTTTTAAGCCACCGGGTCCGGGACGTGAACCGCGGTCGACTACGTGGGAGTCCAGCGACACAGCCATTACGCTAACTGCTGGTTCACTCCCTCTCCATTTTGAAAGACAAATTCTTCGTCTCAAAAATGAGGCATTTACTAAATCTCCAGAAAACTGAAGTTTCCATGTCTATTCTACTGTACCCCTCTTAGCTTTATGGTCTATTTATGGATGGCTCTCAACATGTGCAAGTTCTTCCTCAACCACCTGGTATGGATTTGTCTTCCATATATTTAATATCAAATCTTCTTGAATCTTTGTATCTCCAGTCTGTGCCCCTTCTTGAGCTAGAAAGCTCCATATGTCGGTTTACTTTCTACTAAATAAAAAATGGACTTCTTGTTTTCTCTAAAATAATGTCCTTTAAAATAAAAAAGATATTCCTTTGGAATTAGGATCCTAGAGTTTGGTCCACAGGTACTTCTATCCCTGAGATTATTTTATTATGAACTTGGCCCCTCCTTCAGGTAGTAACCCTTTTCCTGTGAATTCAAATGAGTCTAGAATCACAAATCTTCCCACAGATATCTCACCAGAATATTCTTAGCCACCTCACATGCTAGTCCTCCATTTTACCTAGGTTTCCTTTACAGCAGGGCAGCTTCTGGTGACCAGACCACATTGTGACATGTTGTGCACAGTGCTGTGAACATTCTTATTTCCCGTCACCCAAACTAAGGAACAATGTCCCACCTCACCCTTGCTTTTCCCCTTCATGAACAATTACATCCATAGGGTCTCCCTCACTAGAATTTCACCACATTCGAGGGCAGATTTTAAATGCTCAGACTTTCACTTTCAGAGAATCTTTGTTAGCAGTCAATGAAACAAATAGCAGTAAACGCTATACTGAGAACTGAGTTGTTGCAAGGGTAGGGCTATAGTAATGTAATATCATCCACTTAGGAGAAGAAATCAATTCAGCAATATTCTACTAACACATCGATGACATACTTGCTCTGTTTGTGGCCTTATTGTCTGTCATGCAGTCAATGAACACTGGTCAAAGGCTTTCTGTGTTTGAGGTCATTCAACTTTCAGGAACTCTGTTCTTCAGAATACCATTCCTGTTCACTGCAGCTGCTTCTGTTTTTCTAAACCACAGCTGCACCAGCTTCTGCTATCCACCTACTGGTCTAGGGGCCTGGGCAATTGCTGGCCTCCAACTGGCCATGACTACTAATACTTCTTTTCTTCTTCTTCTTGTTCTTCTTCTTTTCTCTTCTTTTTTTTTCTTCTTCTCTTTTCTTATTCTTCTTCTTCTTTTCTCTTCTCCTTCTCTTCCTCCTCCTCTCCCTCCATGTCCCTCCTCCTCCTCCTTTTTTTTTTAAGAGAGTTTTTAGCTGTAGGTAATGTTCATTCACCAGAAAGACAGAGAGAAACAGACAGAAAGCAAGAAATCACCTTCCTTCCCCAGGGAGGATGGCCATGTCACAACCCCTTCTCCTCCATTCTCCTCTCGGTGTCTTGGGCACGCATGAACAAACTCCTGGCATGTGTTTTAGCCACCCAGTCTGGGACTTGAACTGCAGTAGACTACGTGGGAGTCCAGCAAAATAACAATTACAACATCTGCTGGTCCCTGCCCTGACTTCTGACATCTAGTGGAAGCTACCAGCTCCTGACTATGCCATCCTAACTGGGCCAGATTCCTAACTCTGTATCTTGCACACTTTTAAAAACCTCTTTCTGGCTCTGTGATGCATTGGATTACCTGGCCCTGACTGGTAGAGTGTCTTGGAAATTTAGATCTTGAGACAGGACCAATTTGTCATACTTTCTGGTTTTTGTGTCCTGGCCCCTGAACTCCCAACTCTCATCTTACTGTTGATTCACAAATACTTTACCAACTAGCACTTATTTTCATACAACACAGCAGATTTCTTCCTTCTAGGATAACTTGCAAGAAATGTGATGCTGAAAGGATCATGCAAGTTCTCTATGATGATTCAAGAAAAGCCACTCATTAGTTTGAAAAAGGTCATGTGAATGTTGCCCAAGTAGTTTGAAAGGAGGCTCCTGAGATTCAGGCCCATGCAGAGCACAGACTTCACCAAAAGGAACTAGTCCTCAATATGCAGCCTAGTGACTGCACAATTATCAGCAAGACTGGAATTTTCCCTAATTTAACAATGACAGTGATAGTAATAGCTAACATCCATTCATTCATTCAACAAGTATTCTTGAGTTCCTATTATGTACCAGGTACTTAGTAGCTCTGTGTTTCTGCCTTCATAGAACTTACATTCTAGTTGAGAAGGAAAAAAAATAAATATATTTAAATAAAATATTACTTAATGTAATTTTAGAGAGCTTTAAGTGCTAAAAAAAATGATTAAACAAGACAATAGGTTAGACAAAAAGTTATGGAGCTTATTTAGGTAGAGCAAACAAAGAAAGCCTCTCTAAGGAAGTGACATTTGAGCTGAGACCTTAGTAATGACAAGGAGACAGCCTAGCAAAGATCTGGGGAAAGATCACTCCCAGACAGATCACTCTCAGACACTTCCCACTCATCTCCAGAATGAACCCAGGAACAAATGTCTCAGCCTCTCAAAATACATTGGGCTCATTAAGACCAACACATTTTCAGCAAATTGAAAGAGTGCATCCATTCTTAAAGTAGCATTGCTTATGCTCTGCACCTTTTCTGTGGGCTTGGGAAATGGATGATCTGTGCCACCATACGCTGACTGAGTTTTATTCCTATATGCAGATGTTTTGAATATAAGGCAAAAAGAAACCGTAGACACCCAAAACACATTATTGCAAAGTATCATGTTTGGATGTGGAGACTAAGAGAGGAAATTATTTCTGTAGCCATCTAAAAAAGATTAATGAAGCAGTTTGGGGAGATCAGATCAACTTTGATTTGAATTCTGGCTCAGCATTTACCAGCTAGGTGTCCTTGGGAAAATCCTTCAGTCTCTGAATTTATTTCCTTATCTGTAACAATAAGGTTTTATAATGACTGTGATGATATACGTAAAAGTGCCTAGCATGCTTATACATAGTAAATTCTCAATAATACTTAACATATCATTAATAATAATCAATATAAAGTGTTAATTTGAGAATCATTAAGCTTCTCCACTGAGCTTAGCACCATCTGCGTTATGTGAGAACCACTAAAGATTTATCAGAAATGGTCATTTAGCTAGTAAGTGTCAGTACTGAGATTTTAACCCAGTGCAACTTAACCCAAGCACAACATTCCTAACCACTGCATTTACTGCTTCTGTGTGATTAGAAATGTGGTAAATCACATGGCCTGAAGATGAAAGAGAAAGTTTCATGGAAGAAGTAGCCCTTGAGATAAACCTTGAAAACTTTTAGACTAGTCAGCAGCTGAGAAGAAGAAGATGGTATTCCCAGTAGAAGACATAGCATAAGATGTAGAAGTGGGAACAACTGAACAACCTGGTCTTTCTCTTTTCTTACTCTTCATAAAGAATTACATAATCTACTCTTTGATCTCTTTTAGGCTATTCGAAACCCTTCAGTCACTCTTCTGGTCTGTATTTGGCCTTTTGAACCTCTATGTCACCAATGTGAAAGCCAGACATGAGTTCACCGAGTTTGTGGGAGCTACCATGTTTGGGACATACAACGTCATCTCCCTGGTTGTGCTGCTGAACATGCTGATTGCCATGATGAACAACTCCTACCAGCTCATTGCTGTGAGTAGCTTTGCCTTACTGGAGGGCTTTTTTTTTGATCCCATTGGCATGGAGCCCATTGAAAGCTCAATGAAAGAGTCTGTCTGCCTTGATTAATTTTCATTCATTATCCCAGTTGTTAGACCAAATTATTTTTTCCAAGATGCTTCAGTTTGGATTCTTAGTCTATTGAATCTTGGTAATACATTGGGTTGTTGGAAAAGTCATGATGTATTTTTTTTAGGTTTTTCTATGCAAATATACATTGTGACTTTTCAGATAACCCAATAGAATAGGTTGTTCTCTTGATTAAGACCTTCTGGCTACCTGTTGAAAATAATTTTAAATCTTGAAATCCATTTTCTTGCCTCAGTAATGAAAACTCAGGGAATATAGGCACAATTTGGCTATAACATTTCACCGTTCTAATTTCCTGGGTTGATTAAACTGATATGGTTCTCTAGGAGAACCCTACTTTCTCTTCACAGCAAACATCCCCTTCCTAAAACTGAGAATCCCAATGGCAAGGGTGACCTTCTCAGAGAAAGAGTGGCTATGTTTTGATCAAGCATATATGAGTAATTGCACTCCACTTGGGATGCTCTAAAGTAGAGTCCATTGCTGAATTTTTTTCTTTACCATCATGATACCATTTAGATCAGAAGGGTTTATTACCCTACACTAGAAATGGTGAAGGTATAGGATGTAGGGTCACTTCAAGCTCTGCTGTGGTTTCTGATGCCAAAGTAAATATCTGTCTTCTTAGACAAAGGAGTTCCAGTTACCTGAGGTGCAGTTTAATTAGTTATCAGCGAATTTGGATGTTTAGTTCCTTTTATGATGCGAGATCATCCCCTATGGATCAGTCTCTTGAAAGTTTTTATTGTAGTATTGAAGGCACAAAATTTTTCATTTCAAACCTGAGTTTGTCTTCTTTCCTAGTTTCTATTTCTCAGATTTAGTTGATGACTGAGGAGTCATACTGCCTATAGAAAAGAAGCTTAAAATATTGGTTACATATACATATCTGTGCACATGTATACATGTACATATATACAGTGACACACACATACACATGCATTGCCCACATTTCTTAAATATTATGGATAACAGTGAACATCTGTGATCCATTTCCACCAAGGACAGAACCAATACAGAATGGGTATGTATACATGTTGCAGCAGGAGATGTCCATCTATTAAGAACAACCCAATGATAAATGGTAATGAAATATATTCTCATAAGCAGTTTATAAAATTTCTGTCATTGGAGAATTTTTTTAAAGTAGGATATGGGGGGGTCAACAGGTGGCATGGTGGTTAAGGTGCTGGACTTCCACATGGCTGACCACAGTTCAAGTCCTGGACCTGGTGGCTTGCGTTCTCACTTTCTCTCTCTCTCTCTCTCTCTCTCGCTCTTGCTCTCACTCTCGCTCTTGCTTTCATCTGTGTGTGTGTGTGTTTGTGTGTATGTGTGTGTGTGTGTGCGTGTGTATGTGCATCTCTGTCTCTCTCTGGTGAGCACATGAGCCTTGTCACAAACTAAATAATAATAATAATAATGATAAATAAAATTAATCTTTTTAAAAATCATTTTTTTAAAGTAGGATATAAAATTGTTTACTTGGCTGATTAAGATATAAGGTGCTTATGTCACAGAGAAGTGAGGGAAGTATAGTGTAAAAATATTAAGAGTTAAAAAAAACAGGGACTTTATCCTGGTTCTGTCATTTATTGGGTGACAGATTTTCCTTCTTCATCAGAAAAATTAGGAAATTTGAATAAATGGTCTTAATATCCTTGCAAGCTCTGATATCTTCTGAATCTATCCATCTACAAATGAACTAGATAGGCTCACAAGATCCTCTCTAGGTCTGAAAGTCTGTTCATCTGTTGCATTTAAAATGAAACATATCTCAGTTTTATATTCTTTTTCTCTCTCTAATTTAAACCCACTTTGATGAAAAACTCTGAAATGCTTACTCCTAGTCTGTCACTATAATGGGGTTGGGGTGGGCATGGAATCTCAGGGGTTTATTTTTCCACCCCTATACCCAATATTCTACTCTCTACCCCTGCCAAAAAATAACAGTATTCATGCTAAGGCATTTATAATTTTCTCTCTGGGTGTTTAGCAGTTGATTGCTCCTAGTGACAGAAGAAAAAGGAGATATTTTCCTGTCACCTAATGCAGGACTTTGGTACTTACCACTGAGCTCAGTGACACTTTCTAGGAAATCAAAACCCTAGCTCTCCTGTCACTACCTGCTAATAGGAGTTTTGTTTTAATATCACCTGATACTACACAAGGAGAAACACCTTGGCTTGGGAGGGGGCCTGGGGTAGATGGCCTGAATATTGTCTATACCATTTCACACATCTGGAGTCATGGCCAACCATTCTGAATACTGCCTGCTTCATTAGGATCCCCCAGGAGTGTGAATAAAGGAGGATCCTTATATTGAGCAGCATGAATCCAAAAATATCTAGATCTGCTTAAGTGGTAAAACCTAACAAGTAGATTTAATTCTATTTTCAACATCTCTATTTCAGTAGTGAATAAAATTATTAGAAGGGCCTTGATATTGATATGGGGGAGGCTACAGAAAGGAAACCACTGAAGACAAATTTTCCTATTCAAAAGATTAACACAGGCTGACTCAGCATAGGTAGAGCCTCAGTTATCAATGACCCTCACTGTGAATTTATTAAGTACATTCTAGGAAGGGCTTAAGAACACCAGGTAATACACATTCCATGAAGGGTCGTATTTTTTCTAAATGTTCCACTTAGGATTCAGAGCTGCTGATGATATGGATATATGGCTCTGTAGCAATTTGTGATTTTTATGCCGAGGAAGTTCTGCTTTTGTAGTGTGTAGGGCTATCCTCAGGATATGATGAAGCAGAAATTACTCCAGGCATGTGCAATGTGATCCCAGTCAGCATCTCTAGTGAAGCCGGTCATATTGTATATTATTATTCATATCTTCAATTGGCAGTGATTTACTCCTCTCTTTATTCTTATGTCTCCCTCCTTTATTCTTAGATCTCCCTCTCCCTCAAAGTCTTTATTACTCTCTGTGACACTTTTTTTGCTTTTTGCCATAGGGCACATGCACTCACTATAGAGAGGCAGAGAGAGGGAAAGTGAGAAATCACCCACCATCAGGGAGATAGTCATGCTACAATCCCTTCTCTATTCTTCTCTTGGGATTTTGGGTACACACACATGCCTGATGTAATTTTCAAACTGCTGGGTCTAGGACTCAAACCACGATCAACCATGTGAGAGTCCTGCACTTTAATCACAATACCACCTGCTGGCCAAACACTTCTTTCAACAGAGAAAGCTAACTTACCAGTTCTGTTCTTGGTGTGCATGTACAAATCTTATTGAGGAAAGCTGCTCTTGTTGCCATTTTGATCAGATTAATCCATTAAAAAATATTAGGTGGGAAAGCTAGACCAGTCCCACAAAGTGCATTTACCTTAGGCCCCAACCCACTCACAAGGGTCATCTCTGTTGTATAAGATTGGTCCTCACAATACATGGGACTGATGATCCGATAAAGCCTCATTCAGCAAGTTAATAAGAACCCTCAGTTCATTTGGCTGCTGTGGAGTGTTTGTTGTAATGCTGAGAATATGTAAACAGCACTTGCCTCACTGAGCCACAGATGCTGGATGGCTTGGGGAGAGCCCAGATACATAGGATTGGTTGTCCCCCTTAGGGTGCAGCATTTGGAGGCTCAGATAATGGATGGACTCTCCCACTGCAGAAGACAACCATGCAAATGAAGACATTCATCTGAACAAACCTGGCACTGCAAAAAAAGAAGGCAAAGCTAGAGAGGTCTGTTACACACCACTGAAGTGCCAAGGAGGGCAGGTGGTCTCCCTGCCCACCCCTAGTCATTCAAGACCAACCTTAGATTCGATTCTCAAAGCACAGAGAAAATAGTAGCACTTCACACACCAGATTATGATTTTTAACCCTCTGACCAGGACTGATAACCAACTATTAAGAACTGGTATGAGGGACTAGCAGTTAGAGTAATGGCTATGTTGCTGGACTCCCACGTAGTCGACTACGGTTCGCGTCCCGGACCTGGTGGCTTAAAACTCACACCGGGTGCGTGTGTGTGCATGCCCAAGATCCCGAGAGGAGAATGGAAGAGAAGGGATTGCGGTATGGCCACCCCCCCTGGGGGTGATTTCTCGCTTTCTGTCTCTCTGTCTCTCTCTGTCTGTCTGGTGAGCGCACGCGCCCTATAGCAAAAACCTCTCCAAAAAAAAAAAAAAAAAAAAGAACTGGTATGGTTGCCCTGTTGTTAAAATATTGAAATACTTCATACCAGTTAGTAAATAACTGCTACTCCAGCAGTTCCCTTTGAGACACACACAGATACCCCATCCCCCCCCCACACACACACACATAATCAAGCAAGTAAAGGGTAACATCTGTAACAAGAGGTAGTATCCAGGACCCTGCTCCAGTGATACAGCTGTCATACATTATAATTGATTGGTTTCTTAAACAGTCTGGATATCACTATAGAAGGCAGAATCCTAAAATGCACCACTAGATTTTCTGCCCTAATCATCAGGACTGTGAATATGAGATAACACACTTGAGATTAGGTTATATTACATGACCAAAGGGAGTTTGCAGATATAATTAAGGCTACCAATCAAGGAGATTATACAGGTGTGCCTAAACTAACCACATGTGTCCTCCAAAAGCAGTTTTCTTCAACTGATAGTAGAAGAGGATGTCAGAGATCCAAAACAAAAGGAATATTTCGTGTGTCACTGCTGGCTCAAAGATGGAGGGGGCCATTTGGAGAGAAATATAGGCAGCCTCTGGAAGATTAGAGTGGCCTCCAGTGGACAGCCTTCAAGGGAATTTCAGTCCTACAACTGCACAGAAATAAGTTCTATAAAGAACATAAATGAACTTTGATTTCAGCCTTGTGAAGGCCTGTATGACTGTAGTAAAGAAAACAATGGGAATATAAGT